CTAACCTAGATCAGGGAAACTCTTTTGTCTGTCCATGAAGTCTCTACCCCTACAACAGAGGCACAGAAATGAATTGGTATGTTTTAACACCAGAGATAGCAAGTTACATATCTGGGTGTTAAGTTACAGCCACTTCATCAAGCCACTAGGCAAACATTGGAACTTGTATGAAGCCGCTCCCCTCTCAAGAGGGAAAAATGTGTTCTTACAGCAGCTGATTCTTTTGCAGATTTGGGTGCTCTCTGGTAGTTGGCCTATGCAGTACCTAGTTCTTTCATGGAGGTGTAAGTGCAGAATTCCCCAGAGGAGGGCATTTTGAATGGCCCAGCTCAGGGCTCCTCCTCGACTGCTTTCTCCTGATGTGTCTGGGATCCCTGGGTCCCATTTCTGTGCCTCTTCACAGCAACCTGGGCATCTGGGAAGGGGGAGGCAGAAACCACTTTTCTCCCCTAACTTTCTGAAACCTGAGTATGAATTTTTAAAATTGAATTTATTGGAGTGACATTGGTAAGTAAGATTATATAGGTTTCAGGTGCACAATTCTATACTATAGCAATATTCAACTGGTGTGCCACAACACACTGGTGTGTTGCAAGAATATTTTTTAAAGATTTTATTTATTTATTTTTAGAGGAAGTGAAAGAGAGGGAGAGGGAGAGAACTATCAATCGATGGGAGAGAAACATCAATTGGTTGACTCTCGCGTGTGACCAGGGACTGAACTGCAACCTTTCACTTTGTGGCCAGATACTGATCCAACTGAGCCACGCTGATCAGGGATGCTGCAAGAATTTTTAAAACATCAATACCTGACTATTTAGTCAAGGACACTGACCTCTTTGCCCTTATATTGTCAAAAAAAAAAAAACAACAACAACAAAAACCAAAACCCCAAAACAATGAACCAGCCAATACCCCAGCTGTCCAGTGTGAATAAATCAAAGTTATACCTATTTTTTTCCTGATACTGGCAAAAAATACAGGGTCCAGCACAAGTAATGCCCCTTTTTATTACAAAATCTTTTCTTACAAAATCATAAGCATGTAATTCTGTAACATAATGGTATCACACCCAAGCACACCATATGACATTTTAGGTGAAATGTTCAAATTGAAACTATAAATTATCACAGCCATATGATTACCCTCCCAACCACACTCAAGCAGGCGTTACTTCTGCCAAGCCCTGTATAATTTTTTGATGTGCTGCAGAATTTTAGTAATTAGTTTATGTGTGCCATAAGATAAAAAATGTTGAAAATTGCTGCTATAAAACATCATCTGCATACTGTATTGTATGCTTACCACCCCAAGTCAATTCTTCTGGCCACAGTTTATCCTGCCTTTACCTTCTGCCCCTTTTCCCTCTGGTCATCACCATAATGCTGTTTGTGTCCATGAAGTTTGTTTTTGTTTCTTGTGCTTAATCCCTTCAACTTTTTCACTCAGTACCCCAACTTCCCTCTCCTCTAACAGCTGTTAGTCTGTTTTCTGTATCTATGAATGCATTTCTATTTTGTTTGTTTGTATATTTTGTTCATTAGATTCCACACAGAAATAAAATCTTATGGTATTTGCCTTTCTCTGACTGCCTTATTCCACTTAGAATAATACTCTCCAGGTCCATTCATGCTGTCACAAAAGGTCAGATTTCCTCCTTTTTTTCTGGCACACTAGTATTCCATTGCGTAAATGTACCACAGACTTTTTATCCACCCATCTACTGACAGGCCTGTGGGGTGCTTCCAAATCTTGGCTATTTTAAGTAACACTACAATGAACATAGGGGTGCATATATTCTTTTGAATCAGTGCTTTGGGTTTCTTTGGATATATTCTCAGAAGTAGAATCTCTGGGTCATGAGGCAGTTCAATTTTTACTTTTTTGAGGAACTCCATACTGTTTTCTACAGTAGCTGCGCCAGTCTGCATTCCTACCAACAGTGCCTTAGGGTTCCCTTTTCTCATCCTCACCAGCGCTTGTTGTTTGTTGATTTATCGGTGACAGCCATTCTAACAGGTGTGATGTGATATCCCATTGTGGTCTTAATTTGCATTTCTCTGATAATTAGTGACACTGAGTATCTTTTCATATGTCTATTGGCCATCTGTATATCCTCCTTGGAGAAGGGTCTATTCAGGTCCTCTGTTCATTTTTTAATTGGATTGTGTTTCCATTTTGAGTTGTATAAGTTCTTTATAAATGTTAGATGTTAACCCCTTACCAGATGTATCATTGGTGAATATGTTTCCCCATTCAGTGGGTTGTCTTTTCATTTTGTTGGTGGCTTCCTTTGCTGCACAAAACCTTTTTAGTTTAATGTAATACCATTTGTTATTTTTTCTTTTGTTTCCCTTGCCTGAGGAGACATGGCAGAAGAAATATTGCTACAACAAATGCCTGAGATTTTAGTGCCTATGTTTTCTTCTAGGATTTTTATGGTTTTGAGTGTAACATTTAAGTCTTTAATCCTTTTTGAGTTTATTTTTGTGAATGATGTAAGAAGGTCATCTAATTTCATTTTTGTGCACCTATCTGTACAATTTTCCCAACACCAGTTATTGAATAGACTATCTTTACCCTATTGTATATTTTTGCCTCCTTTGTCGAATATTAACTGACCATAAAGATATTTATTTCTGCGCTCTCTGTTCTGTTCCATTGATCTATATATTTATTCTTATGCCAGTATCATGGTGTTTTGATAACTATGGTATTGTAGTCTAGTTGGATATCAGGTAGCATGATTCTTCCAACTTTGTTCTTCTTTCTCAAGATTGCTGTCGCTGATGGGGTTTTTTTGTGGTTCCACATAAATTTTTGGAATATGTGTTCTAGTTCTGTGAAATGTGCCATTGGTATCTTGACAGGAATTGTGCTGAATCTATAGATTGCCTTGGCTAGTATGGACATTTTAACGATGTTAATTCTTCCTATCCATGAACTTGGTATATGCTTCCACTTATTTGTATCTTCTTTCTTTCTTCAGTGTCTAATAATTTTCTGAGTACAGGTCTTTTACATCCTTGGTTAAATATATTCCAAGGTATTTTCTTAGATTCAATTGTAAACGGAGTTGTTTTCTTAGTTTCCCTTTGTGATAGCTCATTATTGGTGTATAAAAATGCAACAGATTTCCAGATATTTATCTTGTATCCTGCTACTTTACTGAATTCACTTATCAGCTCAGGTAGGTTTTTGGTGGAATCTTTAGGATTCTTTATATATAGTATCACATCATCTACAATTATTGTGCTGGTGGCTGCAGCAGCCCAGGTATATTTTTTGGAAGCTGAGTGTTCTTAGGTTGAGGGAAGCCTGAAACATTTTAAACAACAGGTATTTAAAATTTGTGGCAGCTTGCCCTGGATGGTGTGGCTCAGTTGCTTGGAACATCATCCCATAAACTGAAATACTGCTGGTTTAATTCCTGGATACATGTTTGGGTTGTGGGTTCAGTCCCCAGTTGGGGTGCATATGAGAGGCAACTGATCAATGTTTCTCTCTCACATGGATGCTTCTCTCCCTCTCTCTCTCCCTCCCTTCTTTTCTCGCTAAAATCAATAAGCATGTCCTCAGTTGAGGATAAAAAACAAAATAGGTGGCAGCTGTTACTTCAGGAGGTACAATGGGAAAAGTTGATGGACCTCTGACACCAGGGTTGTCATACGGTATCTTTTTGTTCACTTTATAAATATGTATTCAGCTTCCATATGTTGTTTCTCCCCCGTGTGTCCCACCTACCCTTCTCCACCCTGCTCTATACTCAAGTAGGCTGAGTTGTATGGTTAGGCTCAGCCAAAGAAAATAAGTGGCTGTTCTGAAAACTTGCAAGATACTGCGAGGGCAAGAGGAAAGTGAGGTCAAGGTTTTTATTCTCACCACTTCTGCCACCTCATCATGTGTGCCTGCCTCCCTCTATAAAGGCTACAGCACCTGCCAGGCAGCCCTTTCTTCTTCAGCCTTCAGACCTAAGGTTCTGCACCAAACCTTTTCTTTTTAAAACCTTGCCCATGACTTTGCAAACAGTTCCTTTACGGAATGCTTCTCAAATTACCCAGTTTGAAAGTGCCACTTTTTTCTTGCTCATAATCTGATACAATTCAACACTGACACTGCCATGTCCAGATTTGTGACTTGAGGAACAAAACTCAGTGAACACCTACTGTAAGTGTATCAGAGAAGTGTTTTTATATACGTTGGCCCATGTGATTGTAACAAAAAAACTTTGTACAGATAACAAAACTGGATTCACAGGCTTAATTATGTAGCTTGCTAAGTATCACCAGACTATTAAAGAGCAGGCATAGACTGGAACCCAAGTAGGTCTCACTCCATAGACATCTACTTGCTCTGGAAGCCACTCTAGGGACCCTTAGCTCTAGGAAAAGGCTTGGTAAAGGATTAGGGGTAAGGGAGGGATTAGGACTATGTTTCTCCACTGATCTGCTGATTTAAATAGTTTTACAGATTTTTGACTGTGGGTGAGGTCAGCGCCCCTAACCGCATCCTGTCCCTTGTTCGAAGGTCAACTGTACACACCTCCGATGCTTTTATAAACTCCAGATTCTTGGAACCATCAATATCTTTCCCAATCCTGTAGCTGTAAGCAGTCTTTGTACATCTATCTATTGTCCTCCCCTCCCCTCCCTTCCCCTCTCTCCCCTTCTCTCTACCTCTCTCTTTCTCTCCCTCCCTCCCCGCATCGGAGGACAGAGAGAAACACGGATAGGTTGCCTCTAGTACGCGCTCCGACTGGACGCAACCGCAACCTAGGCATGTGCCCTGACCCGGAATCCAATGGGTGACCGTTTGCTTTGTAGGTGGAAGTCCAACCAGCTGAGCCACACTCGTCAGGGCTGTACCTCTATTCCCACACTCACCACACTGAATTGCAGGATTATAGTTAATTCTTAACAGATATTTTCTTCCACTCAGGCACTAGTCGATTTGCATACATTCTAAAAGGCCTCACGTAGAGCCTTGGGGAGTGTCAACGTGCCAGCCCAATGGCGGTGGTGAGTGCAACTGTTTCAACAGCCACTGATCCCCGGGGAGGTGAAGATCCCAGGCCCCGCCTTTGACTCTGCCAGGCCGGGACATCTTTTTTCTTGGAGATCGAGATGGCTGCGAAGGTGACACTGGAGTCCGCGGACCGCTGCCGCACGGACTAGCCCATGCATGCCAGGTTCCTTCAGTGGCAACCCCAGTCCAGCCCCTTGCACCAGGCTGAAGAGCTTTTAAGAGGCAGAATTGGGGGATTCTCTCCCAAATTAAGTGGAAGGTTTTAGGCGAGGAGGCTGTGCGCAAATTCAGGGGTGTCCGTTCGCTTTTGCTACTGATTGGCAGGACTCTGCCCTCTAAACTCAACTTAGCCGGCTGCTCTGCCCTGTCGGGCTCTTAGCCTGCAGTTGTGCGGCCTACCATTAGAGGCTCTCCAACCAGTTCTAACTTTCTCCACAGCCCTGTGCAGCCGATCCGAATTCTGAAATCCAGTCGCAACACGATGGCCTCATCTCCCGCTGTCCTGCGAGCGTCCGGACTCTGCCAATGGTGCCCGAGGAGCTGGGCGCTGCTGCCGAGTTCTCCAAAGGTGAGGCCAGTTAGCCTGGTCTCTTGGGCTCCTGCCCGGACGACTGCGACGATGACCGTGGAGCCAGCGAGCCGCTGCCTCTGGGACGAGCCCGTGCGCATCATCGTGCGCGGCCTGGCCCCGCAGCAGCCGGTCACGCTGCGAGCGTCCCTGCGCGACGAGAAGGGCGCGCTCTTCCGCGCCCACGCGCGCTACTGCGCCGACGCCGGCGGCGAGCTGGACCTGTCGCGGGCGCCGGCCCTGGGCGGCAGCTTCGCGGGGCTCGAGCCCATGGGGCTCCTGTGGGCCCTGGAGCCCGAGAAGCCGTGCCTTCGGCTGGTGAAGCGGGACGTGCAGACGCCTTTCGTCATTGAGCTGGAGGTGCTGGACGGCCATGAGCTCGAGGGAGCGCGTCTCCTGGGCCGAGCTGTGCACGAGCGCGACTTCCTTGCACCCGGGGTGCGGCGGGTGCCGATCCGCGCCGGCCAGGTGCGCGCCACCCTCTTCTTGCCGCCAGGTGAGCGACCAGCTTCCGCCGTTATTTTTGAGTCGGGTGGAGTCCGAGACCCTGTGTGGTCTGTAACCTGACCTGGGGACCACGTGATTGTGGAACTTAGCTAAACTGGTCTCCGTGCTCCCGAGTCTATGTTGATTTCTAGGTGGAAGTTTTTCTTCCAAGTTTCATGGCACTTCCTGGAGGCCCTGTCACTCCCTTAGCTGTATGCTAAAAGGTCCATACAACAGATATTTATTGAGATAGTCTATGTGCCAGCTACGCTGCTATGTTTGAAATGCCGATATTAGGCAATGAGTTCTGCTGGTGTTCAAGAGTGATTTTTGCCTCCTTTAACATCAAAGTTCCAAGGAAGCTAAAACCCACGTTAGAGGCAGTTCCCCATAATCCAAAACAAAGAGAAAAAAGAAAAAAACCCTTGATAGTCCTACCCCCACTACCATAACAGTCTGTCAGTGTTTTTCAATATGGGATGATTTTCACCCCACTCCAGGGGTATTTGGCAATATCTGGAGACATTTTTGTCACAAATGGAGGGGGTGGTGCTGTTGTCATCTTAGTGGATAGAGGCCTGCACTGCTGCTAAACATCCACAGTGCACAGAACAGCCCCTCAACAAAGAAATACCATACTCAAAACGTCTGTAGTAATGAGATGGAGAAGCTGTAGTCTAAGTAAAAACTAGGTGCTTGCTAGATAGCAGCAGCCTGGAAACAAGACCCTTGACCCACCCCTTCCAAACCATATTTGATTAAAACCCCTGCTGTAGAGAAATGCTGGAGTTGCTACAGCTTACAGAAATCCCTAAATGGAATTCAGTGCTTCTTCTCCAAAGCAAGAGACCCTGCTTTATTTTTATAGTTCTTCAGCAATTCATAGCCTTAGTGGCTGTCCACTTAACTGTGAACTCTTGAGGCTGGATTTGGGTCTTACACATCACTATATATTCCTAGAGGCTTGCACAGGGATATAGAAGGAGCTCAATAAACCATATAGACTAATTCAATAAGAATCTCCAAGAAACTTTCATTAACAGCAACAACAAAAAAGTCTCTCACTACCTAGTTGTGGTATCTCATATTGCAGACAAGTCAATCTTAAGTGTTAACAATTTCGGTGTCACTAGGTGACCCACTTAAAATTTAGTGTGTGTGTGTGTGTGTGTGTTTTGACTTAAAAGCTTTTGTAAATAATGTAGAAGGGTTCAGTCATTTAACAAATATATGTTAAGGACTGTGCTACATACTGGGATGCAATGACTAGCAAAGTTGGACAGGAGCTTCTCTGTACTTACGGCCTAATAGAGGACACAGAAATCTATCCTTACACCTGCAGTAAGCATGGTAAGTGCTGAGGCAGGGAAGTTCAGGCCCAGGGTACTCTTTGAGGGAGAGGGAACATGCAAGGGGGCCAGGGAAGTGTTGCAGGAAGGGAGATCTAAACTTAGATGTGAAGACCGACCAGTCAACCACATCAAAAAGGTGAAGGGAGAATAGTGCATACCATTTTCAAGAGTCCAAGAGAACATGGCACATTTAGGGATGGCACTTTTAAGGCTAGAGCAGAGGATATAAGGCATTGTGGAGTATGTTCTAAAAATCCCCTATATATGTAGAATGCATTACAGATCTCAAAGCATTCTCCAATCTTTTTTTTTTTTAAGGAAAACAAGAAAAATTGATAGAAAATGTGCATCCCATCATGTTATTTCTAATTTCATTTGCAGTTCGCCCTTGAACATGGACTTGAACTGCATGGGTCCACTTACAAATGGTTTGTTGGGGTTTTTTTTCAATAAATATACAATCAGTCTTCCATATTCCCAGGTTCCACATCTGCAGATTTATTCAACCATGGATAAAACAGAATTTTCTCTTTGGTTGGAAATACACAGGTATGGAGGGCTCACTGTATGCATTGTTCTATGCCATTTTATATGTGACTCAAGCATCCATGCATTTTGGTATCTGTAGGTTTCCCAGAACCAATCCCCTGCAAATAACTAGGGACAACTGTAGTTATATTAATAACTGTATATTAATTAACTGTAGATTCTGGAGAGTCAAAAGTTATACTGGGATTTTTTATCTCAGAGGGATCGGCACCTCTAACTCCTGTGTTGTTCAAGGGTCAACTGTATTTATTTTAGTATTATTTTTGTGAAAATATGTAAAAAGTTCGGGATAAAATAAGGCATCTTACCCACCCTCTTCTTTCCTCACAGGGTTTTGTTTGTTTGTTTGTTTGTTTTTTAAGTCAGCCCTGCCCAGGTTACTCTGTTGGTTGTAGTGTTATCCCATACACCAAAGTTTGTGTGTTTGATTCCTGGTCAGGGCACGTACATAGGGTGTAGTTCAAGATGACCAGTTGATCTCTCTCTCCCCTCACCTCACTAAAAAAAAAAAAAAAAAAAAAAAAATCAATAAACATATCCTCAGGTAAGGATTTAAAATAAAAAATGTAAAGTAAAAAAGGGTCCTTCTTTTCACCAACCCCCACACCCTCAATTTTCCTTGCTTCAAAAACTTCTCTTTCCTGACTGCCAAAATCTGAAACCCAAAAATGTCTTTTGAGAGTCTGAAGCTCTTTATGATTTGTGGTACTTTCTAGGTGAAGGGCCCTTCCCTGGGATCCTCGATCTCTTTGGAAGTGGTGGTGGCCTTTGTGAATACAGGGCCAGCCTCCTGGCCAGACATGGTTTTGCTGTGCTTGCTCTGGCTTATTTCAGATTTGAGGACCTCCCTGAATACCTAAATGATGTGCACTTGGAGTACTTTGAAGAAGCCGTGGACTTCATGCTGCAGCATCCAGAGGTGGGTTCTGGTGCTCCCCTGAATGCAGAGAAGAGGCAGAGGAGACACAGGGGTGGATCTAAAAGCCCTACCAGGACACTGGGGGATAGAAGTATGCCATGAGACAGAAAGGCTCCTTCAAAAGTTTTATTAAAAGGATTATTATTTCTATTTCCACTCATCTCTCTCTAATCCCTTAAAAGTTGACTGTTTAGTTCCCTTTAATTCTTGACCGTAATTCAGAGTTGGACTAAAAAGTTACTAATCTTGAGTTCTAGTTTTACATTTACTAACAAGGGGCCTTATGATCCTTAATAAGGCAACTGCCCTCTCTGGGACTCGATTTTTCTCATTTATAAGATTAATGTGAGTGTGTAGAGGAAAAAGTTTGACTGGAAAAAGACATCTTTGAGACAGTTGGGGACTGTGTATTTGATAATATTAAAGAATTGTTAAGTGTGATAATGATAATAATAGGGTTTTGCAGAGAAAGTTCTTATCTGATAGTGGAAAAAATTAATTAAATAAAACACTTTGGTAGTGATAATAAATGGAATAGATACTCTGCTACTATGTAAACTTAGAGATCTAAACATTTTAATGTTAAGGAATAAGATGTTCTACAAGGTCTGTAGGATAGTTTAACTCTGATAAAGTTCATGGACTGGTGTTTTAGCAAAGTTGCTAAAACCTAGTTGATCTTGAACTGTAACAATTGGTTTATTTAGTGGACATAGGCTCCAGGAAAAAGAGACCAGTATATACTATCAGCCCTGCCCTCAAACTTAGAGAAAAGGGTCTTCTTCCTTGGACCCTTCGTTATAGATGGCTACTCTCTAGCCTTCCTTTGGATGCATTTCTGCCCAGAGGGTGAGGAGTCCAAGGGACCAAGGGAATGTGTCTACCTGGAACCCATGTGGCTACCCTCTCACCATGCCCTGTGGATCTTGAACCCCAGAATTTTTCTGCTGATCGGCATTGATCTTGCTTCCAGGCCCTATGCCTCTTCTCGGGGTCCTTCAATGTCAATATATCTAGGTCTTAAACTTACTGGTTGGGGTGTCCACACATGTATGTGAGCAGCCCCTCAAGGTGCATGATGGAACCAGGGGTAGAAGAGAAAGAGAGTGGGCCAGGGACCAGGGATTGGGGCCAGGGCCTGGCTCTCTCCTAAGTCATGTTCCAGTACAAAACTCCAAGGAGTTCCAAGATTTTAGATTTGAACCTTATCAAGGTAGGAGAAAAGAATATATTTCATATAACAGTTTATTCACTTGATATTTTAAATATTTTGGTATAGGGTATATGGGTTTCTGTGTGTATTCTTAATCCAGACCCCATAAATATTAGTGGAGGGCATGTGTACTAGGAAATTAATTAATTTGCTTATTAGAAGACACTCTTAAACTTTGTACATTGTTGCATAAGGAATAAAAGCAAATGACATTTGAGAAAACTACCTAGACAATATATAATCATTGTTTATGTCCTCTGTTTATGAATTCTAGGCTTATTCATTTTCTCTCTCTCTCTCCCTCCCATCCCTAATCAGGTGAAAGGCCCTAGCATTGGACTTCTTGGATTCTCCAAAGGAGGAGACTTGTGTCTCTCAATGGCCTCTTTCTTGAAGGGCATCACAGCCACCGTACTTATCAATGCTTGTGTGGCCAACACAATAGCTCCTCTACATTACAAGGATATGATTATTCCTGATCTTGGTAATGACCCAGGGAAACATACAACCACTGAGTCAGGCCTTATAGATTTCATGAATATTTGGAACAATCCACTGGAGGAACCCTACCACCAAAGTCTTATTCCATTGGAAAAGGCCCAGGGGCCCTTCCTGTTTATTGTTGGCATGGATGATCATAACTGGAACAGTGAATTCTATGCTCATATAGCCTCTGAACGGTTACAAACACATGGGAAAGACAGACCCCAGATAATCTACTACCCAGGAACTGGTCACTGTATTGATCCACCTTATTTTCCTCCTTGTAGAGCCTCTGTCCATGCAGTATTTGGTCTACCAATATTCTATGGTGGTGAGCCAAAGGCTCATTCAAGGGCACAAGTAGATGCCTGGCAGAAAATTCAAACTTTCTTCCATAAACATCTCAATGGTAAAAAATCTGTCAAGCCCAGCAAACTGTAACATTATAATCATAGATGAGATGCTATTAATAAAAATCCTATTCATACAGCATGTATTTGGGTTTTCCAGAGCACCTAGGAACTATTTTGTAACAAAGCAACCATCTCGGCTTCCTTGTCAGGTCCTACTGGATTCCCAGCCTTTGCAACCCTCTTTTCTTCACTGGTGGGTCTACCTCTTTGTCCCCTGAACATGTCCAATGTATAGGCTCAACCTTGATCTTATCTGTAGGACTAATCTTAAGCTTAAGCAGGAGAAATGTAAGGAGCACTTGCTCAACTTTCAATTGATGGCCCAGCTTTGGCCTTGTGTTCTTGTTCTAAGGACTGAGATTCTGTATTGCTAAGAGTCCCATATACCCTTTGGGCCTTAACGCACCACGTTGGGAACCTGCCCACTCAAGTCCCTTAAGGAATGGACTTGGCTTCATTCTTGCCAGTACACATTCCTAAATGTGTACTCAAGACTTGTTTCTGAACTCCAACTGGGACATTGATATACTTATGTGGGGTCCCTGTTTGGGTGCCAGATGAAGGGGGGTACCCTGGCTGCTATGGATGAAGAAATAAACTGTACCAGACATGATTTGCCTGTCAGGAGGGGGGGTGGTGATTCCCTCAAGTGGCGAATGCCCTGAGCCCTTCTCTTGAAGTGGCTTTTATTGAGAACAATATGTGCAGGGGTACACTGCATGCATACAAAACTTATCAATTAGTGCTTAAAGGCTATATTTACAGAAAACAGATAGAGATCATAGATAACAATTGAAGATACACAGAGATTTGCCTCAGGTCAGGGTCTTGTAGACAGGGTGATGCCTATTCAGCTCTAAAACCTGGGAAGATAAACTCATCCTATGCTCAGGACCCCAAACACCAGTACTCATTAATTCAAGGGCATTCTTAACAAAGTAGGTTTCATAGGATGTAATGCATTCCTTTCCCAGGCCTAATTGTCCCCAGGAACTGCCTGGTCTAGATCAGGGCTATACCTGCCTCTAGTATTGTTTCAAGCCAGAGTCAGGCGGGTGGAGCAGAACAGCCAAGCGATAAGGAGACTTCTTTCAGATAGAAGGAGAACTTCTTTCAGAAAAGGAGACTTCTTTCAGGCCATGACAAAGCTGAGGGCTGAGAGTCTTTTGTCCCTTTTCCATGTCCCTCATGTCCTTCCCTGATGGTCCTTATGTGACTGTGACTGTCTTAGGTTAAGACCGCATTGAGGGGTCTTAACTGTCATTGACTAACCAGCCATCCTCCAGGGCCAAGCAGGGTGATATGAGAGAGGCAGGGGCTGCACTCCCTGCCAGGGGGATTTTGTCTCAGTGGCCTATTTTCCCAAGAGCTCCTTGCTCCTTGCTCAGCTCCAGCCTTGGGGCCCTCTCACCTGTCAGTGAGGCTACAGTTCCTGAAGCCAGGCAGGACGGTTCCCAGCATACTTAGATATAGTAGTGCCCCCTTATCTGCAGTTTCATTTATCTGAGATCAATGGTAGTCAGAAAATATTAAATGGAAAATCCCAGAAATGAACAACTCATGTTTTAAATTCCATGTGATTCTGAGTACCTCACTTCCTCTCACCACGATGGCATTGTGATGTCACATCTTCACAAGAAGAAAAGTGATTTCAGTACAATGGGATATTTTGAGAGAGGGAGCAGCACACTCACAGCTTTTTATCACAGCATATTTTTATAATTGTTCTATTTTATTAGTTATTGTTAATCTCTTCTGTGCCTAATTGATAAACTTTATCACAGGTGAGTATATACAGGAAAAAACAGTATATATAGGGTTCAGTACTATCTACAGTTTCAGGTATGCACTGGGGATCTTGGAACATAATCCCTGCAGATAGGGGAGACTACTATACTAAACTTTTTTTTTCAATTACAGTATACTTTCAATATTTTGGTTCCAGGAGTACAGTATACTGGTGAGATAATCATATACTTTACAGAGAGCTCCCCTCAATATTTCCAGTACCCACCTGGCACCATACATAGTTATCACAATATTGTTGACCGTATTCCCTATGCTGCATTTTACATCCCTGCGACTATGCTGTAACTACCAATTTATAAATCTTAATCCCTTTACCTGCGAGCTTTGCTTTTATTTTATGATATTAAAGCTTTGCTTTTATGAATGAGGCCCTAAGTCTCAATTTCTTCTTATTAATAAAGTATAATTTACACATTTTGATTGCCTTCCAGCCTGAGGAGGTATGCTCAAGTAGTGCAGAGCTGCATGATGAGGGCTTCTGGAAAGTTAAGGGTATGTTAGGATCCATAATGGAGTCTCCACAAGCCAAATTGGAGAGTTCAGATTTAAAATGAGAAATAAGGAACCATTTGTAAACATACTGATTTTTTTAAAATGGCTGTCAGTTATTTTACCTTGAAGTTTAGTGGTTCAAAGCAGTTAAAGCCTAAAAGAAATTTAATTGGAGACACTTTTTAAAAAAATCAGAAAATATAACCAAATTCAGCCCTTTGTTCTGCTTTCCTTTGTATACCTAATAGTGTACTTTTGAATATATTTCATCAGAGTGATAACAGCCAATGGACCATTTTGAAAGCAAATACATGTTTTTGTCAACCACTGATCATTTAAAAAATAATGTATAAATTTGTTACATATTTCAGCCAACTAAAAAATCAAAGTATCATGACTAAGCTATTGCATACATTTATTTTAAATGGCTTTTGAACACTGGGGAGATAAAAGCTTGTGGAAGGCATTTTATTTTTTTCAGATGGGACAGACACAGGTGCACAAAATCCAAAATTCATGCCCACTATAGTGATAGTTTTAGGGGGCAGAAGTCAATATCTTGAGCTATTTTTCTAAAACTGTGGGTCAGCCACCTAAATAGTACTTTTCAAAAAACACAGGGTTGTTGTATGGCTCTAAACCAGAATTTCTTGGTCCAGTAACCATATGCTTTCAGTAGCAATTTTTAAAAATATTTTTCAGTTACAGTTTACATTCAGTACTATTTTGTATTAGTTTCAGGTGTACAGCATAGTGGCTAGACAATCATATACTTTACAAAGTGTTCCCTCTGATAGTTCCAGTACCCAACTGGCACCATACACAGTTATTACAATATTATTGACCTCATTCCCTATGCTGTATTTTAGATCCCCATAACTATTTTTGTAACTACCAATCTGTACTTATCAATCCCTTCAACTTTTTCACCCACTCAGCCTCCCTCCCCTCCATGACTGTTTCTGTTCTGTTCATTGGTTTATATTGTTTAGATTTCATGTATAAGTGAAGTCATATGGTGTTTGTTTCTCTGGCTGGCTGACTTAGCATAATACCCTCTAGGTCCATCCATGCTGTCACAAATGATAAGATTTTGTTCTTTTTTATGACTGTTTATTTTTCATATTTTTAATCTTGTTTTCTTCTTCCTCTTGTTAAAGAAGACTCTGTAACATTTCTTGTAATACCAGTTTGGTAATGATGAACTTATTTAGCTTTTTCTTGTCTGGGAAGCTATGTGTCCTTCAATTCTAAATGACAGCTTTACTGGGTAGGGTAATCTTGGTTGTAAGTCCTTGCTTTTCATCACTTTGAATATATCTTGCCAATTCCTTCTGGCCTGCAAAGTTTCTGTTGAGAAATCAGCTGACAGTCTTATGGGAGCACCCTTGTAGATAACTAACTGCTTTTTTCCTTGCTGCTTTTAAGATTCTTTGTCTTTAACCTTTTACAATTTAACTATAAGGTGCTCTGGTGTAGGCCTCTTTGTGTTCATCTTGTTTGAGGCTCTTCGCTGCCTGGACTTACATATTTTTTACTTACATCACCAAGTTAGGGAAGTCTTCCATCATTATTTTTCAAATAGGTTTTGTGTTTCTTTTTCTCTTTTTTTAAAAGAGATTTTATGTATTTAATTTAAAGAGAGGGGAAGGGAGGGAGAAAGAGAAGGAGAAAAACATCAATGTGACAGAGAAACATTGATCAGCTGCCTCTTGCACACCCTGAATCTGGGACCTGGCCACAACCCAGGCATGTGCCCTGACTGGGAATCAAACCAGCAACCCATCAGTGTGTGGGTCAACACCGAACTCATGGAACCACAACAGTCAGGGCTATTATTTCAAATAGATTTTCAATTTCTTGTTCTTTCTTTTTTCCTTCCAGCACCTTCACAATGCAAATGTGGTATGCTTGAAGTTGTCCCAGAGGATCCTTATACTATACTAATTTTTTTTTTTTTTTTGGATTCTCTTTTCTTTCTGCTGTTCTGATTGGGTGCTTTCTGCTTCTTGATATTCCAAACCAGAGCTTCATCTACTCTAGTGTTGATTCCCTATAATTTATTCTTTATTTCAGTTAGTGTAGCCTTCATCTGACTGTTCCTTTTTTGTGGTTTCCATTTCCATTTTTATGCTGTTGGAAGTTCTAAGTTCCATGAGCATCCTTATAACAGATGTTTTGAATTTTGTATCTGGTAGTTTTCTTGCCTCCATTTTATTTAGTTCTTTTTCTGGAGATTTCTCCTGTTCTTCCATTTGGGACCTGTTTCTTTTGGGACACAGAACTGCTCCATCTCCTCTTCTTGGTAGAGTGGCCTTATGTAGTGAGTGTCCTGTAGAGCCCAGTGGCGCAGCCTCCCCAATTGTGTGAGCTGGGCACGTCAGGTGTGTCTCCTGTATGGGCTGTGTGCATTGTACTGTTGTAACTGAGTCTTGATTGCTGTTGGTACAGCACTGGGAGGGATTGACGCCCCAGGCAGATGGGCTGTGAAGACTGGCTGTGACTATAGCAGAGAAGCTGCTGTGTAGGAGCCAATCCTGTGGAGCAGGACTTGCTTCAGTGGGGCTTTGGTGCCTGCTGAGTCTCTTGAGTGTGTCACTCATGGAGGTTGTAGAGCTGCAGTCTGGCATGGTCTGAAGTTGTCCACTGGGTGCACTGGCTCTGGGGCCTCTCAGGAGGTGCAAGGTCAGCCATTGCCTGTCCTTGCCTGGGGCAACCTGGCACAAGCCATAGAGGATCTGCAGATGGCTGCTACTTGTGCTGAGCTTGGAGGTGCCCAGGAGAGGCCAAGCTGCAAACCAAGGCCAGCTGCTGCTAGTGCCAGGCCTGGGGCTGCTTAGCAAGGGGTACGGGGTATAGATAAGCCAGATGCTTCTTGCTTGAGAGATTTTAGGAAAATCTAA